CTCGCCGATTCGCGTATTTGAATTTGCGTATCTTAAATCGACACCCCCCCCTACGTGAAGACCTGCCCTCAGACTCCCAGGGAGCAGCTGAAAAGAACCTCATTGACAGTCACGGTTGACATGCAGTTCATGATTAGGAGAGCAAGGCTGAGTTATGGCAGGGTCATGGAGAAGGCACGGTGAGATGCGCCCTCCAATGTTTCACACACACATGAACACCTGTATATATACCTGTGGCCCAACATCACCGCACAACATTGAAATGTAAAGAAACTGCAAGGCAGAAATAGAGTCTGTTATATTCCTTCCACCATGAAATGATCTCAGCCAGCTACATACAACCAAAAAGAGCTCATTCAGGGAAAATCAGCCTTAACTTCTTATTGTAATAATAATAACAATGGTTTCCGTTAACCATAAACATTGCAGCTAGACAATTAAATAAAGGAGTGAATATTTTACAAAAAGCCTTTGGAAGCCGCCAAATTTGTATATTCTGCAAACAAATTGGCATTTAAATGTTGCAGTAAAAATTTGCCATTGGTTGGACTTCTGGAACAGTTTGGCTTTCCAATGTTTGCCACACACACAAGAACCAAGTCCTGTTCAGAATTTAAGAGACTCAATTAATACTGTTTAATAAATATGTAAAAGTAGCCTGTCGTTTTAAAAAAATCTATAGGTTCAACTAAAGTTAAGGATGATTGTCCCATGATTAACTAAGGCAAACTTGTTTGTGTGTATTTTTTTCCTTTCTTTTTTTTTGTACATAAAGCAATCACATAAAAATAGTTATAAATAGAAAACTTCCAAAGTTTTTTTCCCCACAGACAAACAGGAAAAAAAAATTAAAAACCAAAAACAAAATTAAAACCAAAAACACACCTTGCTTCAAGTTCTCGTAGATTATACAGTACTCAGCATCTTTGGATACTTTACATGACTCCAAATCGTAGACAAAAACACCTGAAATAACCAGTTGTCTGTAAAATGTAGTTTGTATAAGAAGTTGGTACATATACAAAAAAAGTTTGATGCAGTTTTAAAAAGTTTTCTTTCCAGTTCCCACTGTTCATGGCACACAGGGTCTCTGTGCATTTAATTTTGGAGGGCGGGGGGAAGCTAGTCTCAGGCAGTTCATCAGGATCATTCTTTTAAATGTGTTCTCAAAGCAGAAAGGAATTATTTATTCTCGAAGTGCTTCTTGACAAAGGGAATCATATGTGAGAGCGACTTCGAAGAGGGTTCTCATTTTGTCCCGTGCACGTAGCAACGTCAGTGCTCCAGTAGAGTGACCCTCCTTGAATTGTGACTGAAGAGCAGCACCTTTAATAGATGAACTGAAATTTAAAAAAAGAAACTATGGTCCTCTGGTTCCCTTTGATTCTGCTGAAACCGAAAGATAACAGTAAAAAGAAGAGCGAGCATGCCATAGTTTTTAAAATTTACATTTTTGAGCCTTGATTAAACTTAAAACCAGTCTCTGTATTGGCATCAAACTAACTGCAGGTCACCTCAGTAGACTGTTTGTTAAAAAGTTACCACCACTGTTTAAAAGGGGAAACTAGAAGCACATTGCTATCAAAGCCTTCTTTCAGTGGAGTATCTCATATTTTATGTTGTAAGCCCTATATTTCTGAGCTGACAAATGCTGAAGAATGATTTCTGCTGGCACTCAGTGACAGTCTTGTTTTGTGGACTCTTTAGTATAATAATTTTCAATCAGGATCCCCTGAGCAATATCCGAATCCTTTTCCCAGATGCTCCTGTACAGCAGGGTCTTTGTATGCTCAGAATTTCGGCAAGGGATTCTGACATGTGCCATATTTGCTAGTAATTGGTAATGACCCTAGGCCAGATCCTCAGCTGCAATAAATCAGCACAGCTTCACAGAGGGGCATTCATTTGCACCAGCTAAGAATCTGGCCCATGTCGAGGACCTTTCAGACTGTTTTTGTCATTTGATTATCGGGTTAAAAAAAACAAGGAATTTAGAAGTGGCCAAAAAATGGTTTGCCATCTTCACTGATGTCCAGCTGACCATCTGGTATCATGAATGGAGAGCAATGGAAATCTCCTTCCGAAGCACTGTCTTGACCTCCAAACTAAGGCAAATGATGTTTTCAGAAGCATTCAAAAGACCAGCCACCTGCATCCTGGAGCTTGACCCTTCCCACTCCCTCAAAATTGGATTCCAAGAACTAAGGGCAGGTTGGGAGGAGACAAGCTTGTCAGCTGTTATGCCAAGCGTCCTACAAATGGTCTAAAAGGACACCCCTAGCAGACTGTGTTGCTGGAGTCACTGACAAACTCAACCTACATTTCCTAGTACAATCACAGAATAATACCAACAGCAGCACCTCATTCAGAAGAATGTCCATTGTCTGTTCGGGTGTGGCTCCGCCTACCATCCTACGGCACAGTCTAGATTCACATGGGCGACCAATTGTTTCTTTGGAGTGAGATGATGGGAGACAGCAGGTGAGAATCAGAGAGAGTTGTTCACTCTTTAAGAATGGTATGGAACGTACCACACCCAATACATGGGTAGAACTGGTTTAGTTGCTAGCCTCAGAAATTGGAGCCACATGGTTTAGTCCGGGCAGTCCATTGAATCCTGTGCTCCAAGGGTCAGGGAGAGGGAAGTATGGCCGTGCCGAGATGTTCTCGTTATGGCCCAGAGCAAAGGCAAAGATGCCCCCATTCCTTTCCATGTCCAGATGCGTCCTCCCAAACAGCTTCATTTGGGTTTCTTCAAACTGGCTCTCTAGATCTTGCAGGTTTAGAGCATTCTTGGCACCACTCATGAAGTGCTTGTGGCTGGGGCCTGGAAGGCACATGGCCGTGGTGCCAAGATGGCTGCTCATCTCCTCCAGAGTTGGAGGCATCATGAAGCCTTTTTCATCTGGCTGGCCATTCTGTGCAAACAGCAAGCTGGCCGCCCTCCAGGCTGCGGGCTTGCGCCCCCTCCTGGGCCTCGATATTCGACAGCTCTGCCGCTTGATATGGCGGTGGAGGTGGTCGGAGCGCGTGAAGCTCTTGTAGCAGAATTCACACTGGTAAGGCCGGACACCCGTGTGAATGCGCATGTGGTTCTTTAGGTCGTAGTTGTGCACGAATTTGGCATTGCAGTGTATGCAGAGGTATGGCCTTTCTCCTGTGTGTTTCCGCATGTGGATTTTTAGCTTGTCCTGCCTACAAAACAAAAGTCACAGCCACCTGTTATCACTTGAGCATAGATACTTAAAGGGGTGCTGTCACATTAAGCCCCCAATTTAGCCTTTATTTTTTTTTAAATATACATAATATTAAAAAGGACAGTACTAGGAAGGAAGAATGGTCTTGTGGTTATGGTATGAGATTGGCACTCAGATCCTAGCTCAGCTATCATCTTCCTCTTGACCGTGAGCAAGTCACTTAATCGCTTTCTACCTCATTTCCCCATCCGTAAACTGAGGATACTCATGCTTCTCTACCACCCCAGGATATTGTCAGGAGAGATACTTGGGAGGCACTAAGGCCCAGAACTCAAAGGTATGCAGGCACCTAATGTACATTGATTTCAATGGGAGTTTAACACCTATATACCTTTGAGGATCTGGGCCTAAGATGCAGTGATGAAGGATCACATAAGTACTGGAGAGGTAGGTTAAAATTCATCCCTACCTAGAACTAATCCACCCACCCACCTGCTACAGATAATGTGAGTTGGTGTTTCCACTCCACACCCTCACTTTCTAGGCTGGAATCATTTGGCTCCAACTCAGTATCCAAAATATTGTGATATGTGCAAGTCTCTTGGGTTATTTGACAATCAAAACATTGACATTAAATGCTAAAGGAGGAAACAAATTAAATAAGACCCATTTCTACAATGATGGATCGAAGAAATCATCCAGTGTTTAATGGCCAGGCTGAGGGACAGTGTGGGAAGAGTGATATTTATGTAATTACAAAATTTAAAAAACTAAATGAGCAAATCTGCATATGTATAGCGAGTGCTTTGCAGCTGGACTTCCTCCCCCTAGCCATTGCATATTGCTCATCTTCGCTTGTCAGCTGTTCACAGAGGTAGTTACAGTCCCTGCCTTGGACAGCACCTACCACCCAAACTTGATCCTAATACAAATAGTCAATAATAATAACAATTTTCCAAGACAGTTTAGTTACTAAAGTGGGTTTACTGGCGAGACGAGCTACGCAGCTTTCTGGGAAAAAGCATGGCAACACTGTCTGCTCTGGAAGGGTGAACTTCCACCCACCTACAGAAGGTCCCTAAAGTTCAGACCGGCCGTGGCTCCAACAGGCAGTGTATGTAGCTGTGGAGCAGACACTCAGGGTCTCCACAACCTGCATACTGCGGAATTGAGCCTATGCCAGCTCTGCATGGGCCATTGGGGAGAGGACATTTGGGGAGGAGCAGAGGCACGGCCATTAGGTCCATGCTTAGTGGGTATGGACTTCTTTTCCAGCCCTGGAGTTGGAAAAACAACCCTGGAAGGGCTGTGGAGCTACCCCAGGCCCTGCCGGTGGGTCGGATTTTGTTCCGCCCCAATCCCTGTACTGTTCCCTCGTGCAAACCCCATTTACTCAGGCTTTCTGTAGGCTGGTGTATAGATGTAAGATGTACCCCAAGGCTCCTCAAGGACGGCATTCTGCTGAGGCTCAGCAGCGGTGTAGTGGGGAAGGCTGGGGCTGGAGCCATCACACATCAGAGCACCTAGCATGGAGCAGTAGTAAACCCTACCTAGTTCTATCTCCCTGCCACCCCCCCAAATAGCCTCTACTGAGCAGCATCAGGAGGACACATCCCTGGCAGCGTGGGTCCTGCAGCAGTAGCCCTGTAACCAGGGGACACAAGAGGTGCAGCTGTCCATGCATCTCTGCCCGGGAGGGGGCGAGTGGGGAAAGCAGAGATATTTAACTTTCTGAGCTGACACCCCAGCTACGGTCCATAAGTCACAGCACGTAGTCTGCAGTGGTATCCAAGGCACACTCACGTGGCTGCAGTGGTATCCAAGGCAC